ATACTTACAAGTCAGCAAATCAAAGAGGTAGGAGGTTCTTATTTTTAATTATAACTTGTCCGTATCTTCAATTTGAGTTTCTAATTCATTAACTACTGCACACGTCGTGTGGTAGGTGTAATTAATTATAAACAGAACAATAAAACAACAGGAAGTGTTATGTGACATGCAAAAAATAATATATATATCATTTTTTCATTATATTTAATATTAAATTAAGAAATTAAACAAATATTATCATTAAAATTTGAAATATAACCTTCATTTTGATGTGAATCCCTTTGAGATAAGTAATACCAAAGCTATTTAATAAAATTTTGAAAATAGCTCTCTAAAATGTCATGACATGCACCCTTTGACCTGCCCATAGCGAAAGGGTTAGAGATGCTTCTGTAAAGGCATATACATGTGTTTATAAAAATACATAATGTTAATAATACCATTAGTTAATTTGCTCTATACATCTGTATCACTGTAACTATTTATATTTCTTGAACATTATGACTTACTACAGCAACAATAACAAAAGAAACAAAATTAAATGTAAACCTAAGAAAATAAATAGAATAACATTTTAGGTCTATAAACATCTAGGCAAAGCTTACAAAATAGTACTGTGCTTCCAGTTTTGTTAAAATGTGTTCTATTCCTAATCTAGTACATTGTACATGTAGAGTATGATGCCACAAATGAAGCCATGTGGTAGCCATGTGTTCAAAGCCCAGAACTTTTAAGTTGTACTGGTAGCTGGATGAGGTTTATGAACTACCAATATAAACCAAATAAATTTTATAAGTCTTCACTGACAACACTAAAACATTCTTCTAAACAAAGTTTACTTCATTATCAGACACTCACAATGCTTCTTTTTTTAACTTGAAAAATATGAACTAAATTATGAACTGAGCAAATGATACAATCATTAAATGATTTACAATACATTGCCCAAAAGTTTCTTGTACTTAAAACTAATGTGAAAGTTTTCACAAAGTTCCAGAATGGCTAAAATAGAAATCTCATATTAAAAGAATCTACATTTTAATACAATCAAAGTAAAATTTAAAAATGTTTTCTTTCATTTTAAGTTTGTTAACATTCTTATGTACATACTTTATTCAGTATGTATCTCATCTGCAATCGAAATGTAGTCAATGGATTAATTATTCTCCACTTTACCCATTGCTTAAGAAGTAAATGTACATACCACATTTTGGTGAAATAAGACGTTTATTTCACATTACAAAACCAACAACAATGACATAAAACTGTGTGGATATTCCTAACAAGCTCTCTGTTAACTATCATACAAACTATAAGCCTCTCATAATTAACCCAATGACTACTGGCTACTAACTTTCTTAGTAGGCAATGCAAGTCTTGCTATATTTCATTCCAACAATAAAACCAGTGGACGAATATATTCGAAAATTCATAAATACTTTGACAAATGTAGGT